AGCACAAACTAGCAGTTTATCGGGGATAGCTGTAAGTTTATTAAAAGTTCTCGTTTTATTTGAGGCGACAAGTGAATGAATACGAACTTGAATGTAAAAATAAAATAAAATAAAAAACACATTATACATTCATTCAACAGCACAGAAGGTTAAAAACCAGTCTTTTGTTCAGTGTTTTGGCCTCTGCAGTGGACAGTAATCAGCCAGAGGTCCGTCCGCAGGCGGCCAATCAGGAGGCGGAGGAGAGGCTGAGCCTGGACCAGCTGGCAGGCGGACACACGAGGCTGCGGCTGCAGCTCAGTCCCGTCACCGTGGCGGTGACACCTCTGACAGCGACCGGATCAGCTTCCAACTTTACCCCCTTCTTTGTTTGCGGAACGGTAGGCTTTTGTTGTAACTTTTCTTACGACTTAAATAGACTTTTAAAGCACTAATTGCTAACAAAACTGTTGCTGGATGTGTTTTTCAGACTTTACTTTCAAGTTAGCTAGGACGTGTAGCTGTACTTCCGGTTTTGACTTTGAACATTAAAAAAATTAGTCTCTTCGAATTTAAAAGTTAAGAAGCTTAGACTTGTAATCTGTTAAATAAATATGTTCAACCTTGGAGCTTTTTCAATTCACAATGTCTTGGACGACTTGTAGTTTTTATCAATAACTTAATAAGCGTTTTAACTCCAGTAGTTAGGTTATACTGTTTTATTTTGAAAGTTGGACTAATGTGTTTCCTGTTTGTTGATAAGCTAACTTGATGGATTTTTAAATACCGTTTCTGCGGCGGTTCTGGCTAGAGCCCGGGTAAAGCCGGAGTAGCGCCGGTGAACCAGGTCCGGTTCGTCCCCACCGGTGTCAATGTATAAACGTAGAAGGTTTATGAACGTATTTATTGTTAGTACGCTAAAAAAAAAGAAAAGTCAAGTGAAGAGAAAGCGAAATAGTTTGGTCCCATGGGTGTGGGAGCCTGTGACGTCATTCGTAGTTTCTCTGTTCGGTTTGGCTTAAAGTTCTGGTAAATCAACAAGTGACAATGAAAGTCTTAGCAGGGTACAATAGTGCATTTTATTTATTTTTTTTAACATAGTTTGTGGGTTTTTTATATGTATTCCCGCATCTTTACGGTTTATCACTTCAGAGCAACAGGTTTATTGTTTGGTTAAAGCCGAGGCTTGTTTAGGGTGTGTCCAGAATCTAGAGTGTGCTTTCATTTCCATTATTTACCAGGGTTTTTTTTACACTAGATGATTATATTTGGTTTTTTTTATTTTTATTGTGGAACATTTTGCATGACTTTATTATGTAGTTTTATCTGTATAATCTGATCTTTTCCCCCATATTCTAAACGTTTTTATCTTCATTTAACTCTTACTGAATTTGAATTTGTTTTCCACACTCAAAATTATTAAAGAGATTATTCAGCAAATCAAAGAGATTGCAAATTTTTAAATGTGAATGTTTAAAATATCTGTTATATAAAATTATTGGGATCAATACAAATGCATTGTTGGGATAATAATGATAACATTTTTGGGGGAAAAAACTTGGTCATCACTTTGTGTTGAACTTTGACTGGGCCAAGTTAAAAATCAATAGTTACGTGACAAAATGGATACAATTCTGCACCACATTTCTTGAATATTAAGAATTTTTCTTTCATTTTTTTATTTGTATGAAATGCACAACCACAAGCACTTTAACAGATTCATATTTTAAACTACAGATGAAATAATGACTAATCTTATTTAAGTATAAGCTTTGTATTTGACTAGTTTTACTTAAGAAACATCAAAACTTGAGCAACAATTCTCCCGAGAGGTTCTTAAATATTTCCTACAAATGTTAATTGATATTTTGTTCTTCCCAGTCATTTTTACTTTTCTCAACTGCATTTTGTTTGTTTAAGATCAATAAAACACTTATCAGTGTGCATTGCATTGGCAATGCACACTATTGTGATTCGTTTCCCATCCAAGTCATCTCAACTTTGCCATGCTTCTCCTCCTGCATACTTTGTCCTAGAGCTGCCATTGTAGTTTATATCTGTAAAGCCCCTGTGCTAAATGATGCCTATGCCTTTTGGTGCCTATACAACTTATAGCTTTAAATATTAATGTTTAATAAATTATAATGGCAGTCAATGGAGCCTTGTATTGGTCCAATACTGCCCCCTGCTGCATCTACACAACATGGTACTGCACCATAGTTTCATAATATTTAAACTCAGTAGTTCAGTGATTACAATATTAATATGATTGTATTTTGATGTTTTACTGTAATACTGTCTTTATGTTGTCCTATTGCTGTAATATATTGCACTTAAGTGTCAATAGTTGCATTGGCAAGGTAAACTTTTTCTGTATACATACAATCCAATCCCTGGGATTGTCCTTTGCCACATCTCCTACAGTCTCATGATGAGCACTGTGGGCTTTCATGTGGGAGATCAGGGTTCAAATCCAGCTACTGCAACTTTAACAAAAATCTCTTCAAACTTCATATTGTMWCACAATTACCTTAATTACAAACACCTGCTGATGTGACAGGAACAAGTTGGTATAGAAAACACATTTGAACTTGGTCAAAGTTCATTCTGAAAGTCCAATGC